AAAGATGGTTAAACTGAGTGAGATTACATCCTTTTACATAACTTTCAAAAACGATAAATAAGCTTGCTGCAAAAGAGTGAACAAGAATGTTTTACTGTATCTTTTTTATTGTTTTTAGGAGGAAATACAGATAAGAAATCACAAGCATAACATTATTACTTTACATTACATCATTTTCCCGTAAAAGTTGATCACAAATGTTGTGAAAATAGCCAGAAGTGTGATCTCCTTACACGGGGAGACAGAATATTTCAGGGGAACACAATTTCTCACAACACATGACCTCCTGGCTGGCGTCACCCCTCCTTCGCGTGTGAACCGTGACCGCTTCAATAACAGAACTAACTTGCTTCCTTCAGGACTGGTAGGTTGATGAAATGGTCATAATTATAAATGCTTTTTTAAAGAGATTGAGTAGCTTGTTTTAAGCTTTGTGTGGGTTAGGCTACACAGGTTGGAAATCCATTATACAGTCAAACTCATGAGTGAGCCACCGTAGCTGCAATACTTTCTCTGAACTGCATGGCGCTAAAGAGTCACATTTTTCATCATGATTTCAATGGATTTCACACCGGGCCTTTAGTTATAACAGTTCGATGGTAAATACAAAATAAGTTTACAAAGATCTTTGCATGAAATCCCTCTCATATAAAGCAAATTTGAGCGCTTTTATCCTTGATATTTTCAGTACCTTCCCGAATAAACGCTTTTTGGAGATGTGGTTCATTCATTTAATCAATGCATTTGCAGTATTGCATTTAGAAGGAATGAATGCCTTGTAAGTTGTATTGGGAGGGGGCTCAGATGTGCCTGTTTCAGAAAGTACAAGTCAGCTGGAGAAGAAAATAGCTTCAGAGAGCAGGATTTTGAGTCTTATTTCCTGATGTCTAGACATCTCAACCTGGATTGGATAACAGCAACACAACTCTACCACTGACTGTTTACGCTGCAAAGTTGATGCTTTATCTCCATAAATAACAGAAGTCTAAAGGAGTTCTGCCGTGTTGTGGAGTTGTTAATGCTAACAGTTAGCTTCTGCTAGCCAAGACATTCTCTGCGGTTTCCTGGATGCTAAACCAACAATAGCCTTCCCCGTCACGAGTCAAGATGGGCAAGTCGATAAACGTTAAGTGACAGTGTGACGTAGATCTGTCAGGCTTTTCAAATCCAAGAGTTTCACCATCTATTTTCTAACAGAGGCTCATGTTAATGGAGAAATAGGTGTAGAAGACTATTTTTATGTTAAGCCTGCATGAAAAACTCAAAGTGATTAATTAATTAAAAATGTATTTTCAGTGATCCATACCTTTAAGAAAATAAGCTGGCCACGCCCTCACATTCCGCATTCTGCTTTATGCTGAGAAACTCTGATATCTGGGAGGGGTTCTGAGTAGAGCTGCTGCTCCTTCAGTAGCAGCTCTCTTTTACCTGAGAGGTGGGTCTTTTCTAATTTTTCCGTTTGTGAAGCTAAAAATGGAAATCTTTGAGAACGGCTCTTTTTAGGCACATGATTCCTAAAACCAAACACTAACAAAAAATGAATTATGGTTTTTTTTCCACGTTTGGAGTATTTATAGAGGCAGTAGAGACCCACATAGCAGTACAAAAGGATGAAAAAAAGGTGCATAATACGTCCCCTTTAACGTTGTTTTGATTAAAGTACTTCATTTAGAAGACAATTATAAAATTGCAGCAGTTAACAACAAAAATAGATTTGTGGCAACATTTTAAAAGACAATAATAGCAATAAGAACGCGCTCACAAAATTGATGGTGGGATATTTTTATACCAAAATACTTTGAGAAGCTAAAATGTTTGATTTTTACAGAGTTGGAGGAAAAAAAACATGCTGTCAAATGGCTAGCTGTCAGGTCTCTGAAACGCTCCAAGTTTTCATTAATGACACTTGATGAGGAAAAGAGTTAAGAGAATAAAACTACTGCTGTCAAATAGTGACAGTTAAACCAAAAGCATGAAAAGAAGAAGGGTTTGATGAGGCGATAATAGGCCAGAGCTTCCGAAAAACAAAGTAGGAACAACATTTATGACCTAAACGTTTCATTGTTAGTGGAGCTAAAAGAAAAAAAGACTAAATGACGTTGACTGTCTGCCTGCATTTCCCAATCTTGAATGAAGAAATAACTTAATTTCCCTCCACAATACAAGATTTGATAGACAAATTGGATCTTGCTGCTGGCGTGCATGCTAAATTGAGGCATTACTTGTTGTCCATGTGAAACAGAACAAGTCTCTCCTTTTATATGCAGTTTCACAACTTCCTCTATATATGGAAAAATGCTAATAATGAAAACAGTTGTCCATGCCACACGGCGGGTGACTAAATCTGGCCTTTTCTTTGAAATACTAACAGAGAGGAATGTTGGAAAAAAAACTCAACAGGAAACACTGAAAAAGAAACAGACATATCCGAATATCAGGCTGGAAGGAAACACACAGTTGAAGCCTTGGACTGTTCTATATTGGGCTTGTGAGTCTGTTTGGTTTATCTGGAGGAGACATCTCTCCCTTTAGACTGGGGCTTTACAAAGCTGCAGCTCTCCCTCAGTCACCCCGTTTTCCCCACAGCTTTTTCCCCTTAAATCTCTCCTGTCCCATCGTTATTGTCACTCCTGATTTCCATCTACAATGGCTAAATCCTGCTGTAGTTGCGAGTGTCACTTCAATCAGGCTGCCTATTTAACAGGGTGTCGTCCCATTTACACAGGGACAGTTCGTGAGGAGGTGGAGTAGGAGAAGAAGACTAGAAGATGATGGGGAACGACTACTTTACTGCACAAGCACGGTCAGAGCTGGATGTAAAAAGTCAACTAACTTGATGACAGCAGGCGGATCATGAACTGTAGCCCACTGGTCGTCGTTCACTGGTTTATTTATGGAAGAAACATCAGATGAATTGATGGGAGACAAGTTGCAGAGATTAAATCGTGGAGAGAAACATGGCAGACTGAAATTTAAATGTAATCAAGCACATTATGGGTCCATTTACGCCTGTATGGAATCCAGGGACATTTTCTAAATACCACATCAGCCCTCATGCATGCTCCGAGACACCACACTCACAAAACACAAAAACTTGAAATAAAACCATTCTGCATTCTCACCGGAAGCATTTCTTTAGGTGGAAGTGAAAAAGGTTTTTTTGGAGCTAATTAAACGAAAGTGCCGCAAATTTTATGGCAACTAAGCGGTTTCTTGGAAACGTCCATAACTAAGCTCTGATACAGTGAAGTGTTTTGTTTTCTGAATGTAGATTTCATTGAGGACTTTTATGAAAGCAGAGCACATGACAGGTCATCTCACTGCAGAAAAAATTAATGAAGCAATTAGGTTTACGAGTCTTTAATCAAGTTAAATCAGTTTTTCTTATAACCAAACTTATTAGTCAAGCTAGCCAACCCACTCACTACAAGGATTTAGCCGCTGACAAACAGCCTAATCATAGTAAAATTAACCAGGACCAAAGAGGGGAAACTTTGCATATTATATTACTATGTAGATATATTTGAGCAAATCTGTGATTTTCTTAATAACTGACATGTTTTCATACTTTACAGTGATGATTAAAATGATTGAGAGACCTCCATTTTGTCCACCCCATCTTATTTTCATGTTAAAATGTCACTAATAACATCAGTTGATGCACAACATTTCTGAAGCTGCATTAGTTTTTGAACTCTGAACTCAACTAACTGTTAAACCTTAACATTGTGCACTGCTCAGTGTTTAAGTCAGACACCTAAATAAAATTAAGTTAGAGTATTTGTTATACAGATGTTATTAATGAATATAAAAAAAGATTTTAATTAAATTCTGCAACAGCATCCGGCTGCCAGATGATGTGCCTGACTTTAAATTGGCTTTAATAAAGACAAATATCGGCTGATGCCGATGTAAAAAAAATGGTAAACATCGGACTGATATCGGCCAACTGAAACATCGGTCTATGCCTACTTAGGACCAAGGTTTATTGCTAAACAGTATACAAACAATGCTATAATTTTTTTCAAAACTACCTTTTATTAGGTTTTGTCAGAGCACTGTTGACCAGAATCCCAAGAAAATGTGTGACAATCTGAACACAGAAGATGTGAGTTAGCATTGGTTTCACTTTCAGCTAACTCGTCCTCATGAAAGCTTATCACAATTTACAGAAAATGCATTAAACAGAGCTCTATCTCACCGTCAGGATGGAAATTACTTCTTTCTGGATATGAGATGAGTTCATTTCGCACAGTCCAAATGAGATTACGTCATGGTAGGGCTGCACAATATATCGCAAATCTATCATCATTGCGATATCAGCATGCGCAATACGCATATCGCAAAGAACAACAAAAAAAGAAGCAATGAATGGTCAGCTCAAATGTTTGCTTCACATAATGCCTTCTGTCAATCAAATGGAAGCATGACATTTAACAAATCAAATAGAGCTCTTCACTCATTTGACCAATCAGGTGGGTTCTCATAGGTTAGATACCCCCCGCCATAGGTGAACAGCAGTTAATTTGGATGGTTAGCAAAAACCTGAGTTAGTTTTGTTCTGCTGATTCTGCAATTCCCAGGATCCACTGATTGCCTTTTGTTTATTTTCTTTTTCCCTTGCCTCACATCTTTTGCTTTTCTCATTTTTATGATATTTTTGGGTAATTTTTTTATTTTTTTATTTTGATTTTTTTTTTGTTCCAGAGTTAAGTTTTAATTTATTGCAAGTCATACCGTCATCGCAATATTAATCCATGTTATCGCATTTTGCAGATTTTCCTAATATCTTGCAGCCCTACTTCATGGACATACTTAAAAAACCTAATTGTGCAGTGAGCTTACATGATGGCTACATATAAAAACACCTTCAGCAAATAACTGGTTTGATGTCAGATAATGTTACCACTAAATCCTGTAAAAATATCTGATGAGAACAAACCATGAACATCTGCTACAAGATGTTTATGAAAAAGAAAAACTCCTTACTGTGATCTTACTTTTTCTGTTTCCAGCTGTGCAGACAAAGCAGTTGAACTGAGTTTGGGCGTGACTGTCCAGGCACAGGAAGCTTGGGTTTTTTTCTGTTAAAAGAAAAAGAGAAATTGACGTGTTATAAAACTGATGTTAAATTATTTTATTGCTTCGTTTCCCTGTGAAAGGGCAAAGTCCATAAATGGGTTTGGTTCTGTTGAAAAAATGACTATAGGCTTAGATATAGATTGAATAACAAAATATAAAACAAGTCAGCATAGCTTAAGAGCATATATGTCAGTTAATATAATTATTTGTCCACATGAATATTCCCATTATGTGAGCTGTGAGCAACATTTAAAACTGAAGGTGTGTGTGTGTTTCTACAAAGTCACTGTAAACCGTTTCATCGACATGAACACATCAATAGTTTGAGAGGATTCTGAACCAAGACGCCTGAGGCAATCCATCTGACCTGCATCTCCACTGTAAACAACAAGTGGGGCCAAGTGTGACACAAACTGAGTCTAGAAACATCTTCCCCTTCAGTTGTTGAAGATTCAACACTTTACCTGGACAATTAAACAACAGCAAATATGTTCACCTTTCTAATGGAAAAGGCAAAAAAAAAAATCTAAACAAATACACGTTATTCCTAACTAACCTTAGTATTGTTCCCTCGCTCATCTTAATCTGCCTCCATTCTACTTCTTTGTCTAGTGCATCGATGGTGCAGAGGTGTGAAAGCACAGCAGAACAGTATGGGAAAGGATTTTTAGAAAGAAAAACAGGGTGAAGTAAGGTCAGAGAAGGGGTATGAAGGGAATTGGTAAACATTGTCCTAAGGGGCAGGAACATTACTGTCTGGCAAACACAGTTTTAATCAGTACTGGTCAATCAGGGTCTACTTACCCTGACACGCAAAGGGTAATGACTGAAGGAGGGGGTGCTGGAAGAGGGTCAGTGACTGGGCGAGTGTGTTTGACCACACCAAAGTATCTATTGGTCATTAACAAAACCTGCAGTGCCAGCATGGATGTAAAGCTCCGGGTTCACTCCGATGCTCTGAAAATTAAATTAAATTTCCAGAGAAAACTGCCCAACCATAACCAAAGTGTCTATGTGCACAATGTATGAGAGTTCACTATTATACACACACACACACGCACGCACACACTAACAGACACAATCATCTGAGTAAATTGAAATCTCTAGCACGTATGCACACTAAAATATTAACGACTAAAGACCTATTTCTATGACCTGGCATTTGGCCAGCGACTCTTTTTCTCTGCTTAGTGTTTTTACTGTTGGTTGTTTTATCTGTTGTTTGTTTTATTATTTTATGGATGTTGTTTTGTCCAGCACTTTGGTCAGCTTTCATGCTGTGATTTTAAATATGCCATAGAAAGAAAGTAAAATACAACACTTACTACCTGGATCATTTACCATCAAATATGTTTTGAGTAAAGAGCAATTGTGATTAAAAAGACAAAAGAGTACTTTTGTGTGGTGGTGAAGCAGTATGATGTAACCTGTGTGGAGAGGCTTTCACAGAAAACTACAGTAAGATACTGTATAAACAGCTTTACATAGATGGTTTAAACAGCATTAACAACAAAATAACAACACACCAATGTACCTAGTAAACCAAACAGACATGAAGACTGCATCCTCAAGTTTACACAGGTCATCACTGTTTCAAAGCAAGCATCTTAAAAATCATCTTTGTAACTCATACAGCTTATATGGGTCTTCTAAATGAATACAGGGTGCATACAAAAGACCATAATGAAGATGGACAATCAGCTTGACCTCTAAATATCACTACTGAATATCAATGAGCCGCAGTTGAGTGCAGAGTCAGCTAGGCTGACTTGTACATCTGTCATACATTTAGTAGTGGAGTTATTCTATGCAGCTCTACTACTGACAGAATAACTGTCAGACAGCCAGAACAGAACTGGCTTAACCAATCTCTGCATGTCTGAGCATGCAGTGTGTTGTAAGATATTAAGATGAGTTCAGCATAAATGATTTTATAAATAAATAAATTCATCTGCCAGAGGCATTACATGGAAATAAAACGCAAACCCTATCTCACTGCAGTAGGGAAGCAGCTACCGCTGACAGGATAAGATGATGCTGCGTATTTATGTCTACCGGCATGCCTGCGTCTTTAACATCACTGGCATTTTGTTGTGGTTAAGATGGATTATTGTCACTCTGTTGTACAACTCCTTAAGTACTTGCTATGCTAAGTCATGCTTCAGACTTGTTTATTTACATTCACAGAGAACAGTAATATCTCTGTGGTTTTGCATTAACGATGGACAGTTTCCCAGCCTGAAAGTTTGGAAGTGTTCACATTAATCACACAACTAATTACTTTGATATTTGACTTTCAGGCCTTTATTTTCTGATTAGTCAACAACGTTTTGAACCAATGCCTGGAAAGAAAGCCCTGCTTTGCACAATTTACATTCAACTTTTTTTTAGTTATTTCTTTTTTGTGAAGTGTTCCCACACTTCTGAAAGCATTCACTTTGCATTCTTATCATCCTTCACATGAGTTTCTTAGGGCTGAGTGCATTCTTGGCAAGCAATAAACTAATATGGTTCTTTGTGACTGGAGCATCTACTGAGGGCTCTATTGATGATGCATGGATATTAAAACTTTGAATCAACTATTTTTTTTTGTAGTCGACATTGATTATGTTGACAAATCACTGCAGCCCCAATACACATGAAGTTAACACAATTTTTGTAAATTAATAAAACAAAGTAACATAAAATATGTACCTAAAGCTGAGATCGAACCCATTAAACTGATTAATGAATGCCCAAGCAAAAACAAAAATAATGGTTTGTATCCCAAGTCTCAATGATGAATGACACATGGCTCTGGCGAGAGGCAAAGATTCCCACTGTGAGCATCTTCATTAATATGAGGACAAGATAGAGCCGCAGTGTCAAATGGGGATAAAGTGGAAATGATGTATGAAGCCACAGAGACCTCAGAAGAACAACATGATCAATGTGAGGATTTATCTACTTTTTTAGTTTATTTTAACTCAATATTTTAATCTCTGCAAAGTGTGCCCTCTTTCCATTACCTGACACATTCATGCAATGTTATTTTTACAATGAAAAAAACATGGAAATGTATGCAATTACTGTAATCAACTCAGTCAATATATTTCTTTACCAGTGCTGTATTAAAATATTCTACAAAAACAAGTAAGATGTTCGTTAAGACACAATCATAAAATTAATATTAACATTTAGTTTAAATCTTCAAACTTGCCCACTAAATATAATTATGAAGTCATTTGCAAAAAATGTAGCAGCTTTCTGCAAACCCACTTGAAAATGCTGCTGTGGCTGCTTGATTGGTATGCTGGAGCTGGTTACCATAGGAACGTGAAGGTGCACCAGCAAAAAGACGTATGATGTAGGCGGCTGCCCGCAGGCAAAGAGGACACACAACCTGAGAGCCGAGAGGTAAATAATAAGAAACAAAGCAGTAATGCATACAGCTACCAGCTGGTCACTTTATAGCTTGATGTGAGCAGTCACTGCAGCAAATAACGGGTAGTACAAACAGCAGACGGTCTTTTAAAATTTAGCAGCACAAAGGTTCTATACTAGACCTTTAATTTCATCAGCTCAGGTGTGCTCCTTCATCCTCAGTCTGTCCATTTTCTCTTGCTCTCCTGCAGCAGGCTACTGACTACTTTGCAAACATCAAAGCATGTCTGTATAGATGTTAAAACTATGTAAAGACATGAAAAAGCTTTGAGCAATGAAAGTGCATGCATCAGCAAATATCTGACACCTGTTATAGGTTTTGTTTTTATACCAATCTGGTCTGGAAAAAGTAATACATCTTCAGAAGGTTACTGTAAATAATTAGAATCAATCAGCGATTACATAAACAGCACAGTCAAAAAGATGGATGCATTTGTTTTTAATCCCAGTGAAAGACAACAGCCTAATAAAGGAAGAGTCATTTAACAGGTACCATTTAATCCAAGATCATGGTTCTATTAGTGAATGAAACAAAAATAGATGGTTTACCATCACGTTTTAATACAGCCTGGTTGTTAGTCTGCAGTACACAATGTCGAACATTATATGAACCATCTGCTCTAAATGACAGCAGCTTCTCCAAAGACCATGTCTATATCTCCAGAGCACATAACTTAAAAGTAAAACATTTTCTCACCGCACAGCTAGTCTCGAGCTCATCAAAACCTTTCTCTTAGTGTCAGGTGACTGTTGGCTCAGAGCAACGATTAACATCTTGATTTTGTCAACTACTCGATGCCTGAAGAGAACAAGCCCCTATTTAGTCTGACTGCAAAACTGCCTTTTTGCTCAGTAGCGTGCGGATCAGACAACCAATCCAAGCTCAGACCAGAGGGCAAATTCCTTGCAAGTCTTGCCTGTATTGCTCTGCTGCTGATTTCCCACATTTCATTGCATCATGGCAGTTCACAATGCATAAACCCATGGGAAGACAGACAATATGGGTATTAAATTGCAACCATATCTCCTCAGTCACCATAACCCTGAGAGTGCAGCAAGAACGAGTGTTTCTGTGGACGTGTGGCCTTACAGCGCTGATGATGGGTCGTGGCGGGTGCCTTACACCGTCACGACTGTAGCTGCTCCCACAGAACCCTTTTAGGTGAGAATAGAGGGCTACTGCAGCTTCCAGTGATTAACAGTGTATGATCAACACAGCACTTCACATATTACGGAACAGCTGAAGAGTAATTCCATGCTGTAGTTCTTTTTTAAAACACAGAACAGTTTTGTTACCCGTTTTCCCGCTACGTTTCGTTTGCGGCTGCAAATTTCCTCAGGCTGACGCTGAAGAGTTACTTTAATTAAATAATTAAAGCTGCTTTCCGGAGTGACAGAAATTATGTATGATTTTTCAGAAACCAGTAAAAGTGATTATATTATCATGCACTGTGATAAAATGTAAGCGATACGATTTTTTTTGCTAAGCACGCCCCCTGCCCTGCACAGCTCTGTGCAATAGGAAACGGAGCGCCGACCAGAACTAACCAATAGCGTAGACTACCGCTTACTTGCTTCAAATTTAAACAGGGTTTCCCCCAGTGCTTTATAAGCCTGGTGGCCCGCCAGGCTAAGCGTCATGCCCCGTCCCCCTCCCTGACCCTACCGTGTTCGCTGACACGAACGGCGCAACAAAACTAGAGCCTTCCATCAGTTGATACTGGTGAGAAACAGCAGCAGAACGTGTGCAACCACCCCCCACCCCCGCTCTCACGGAGGAGCGCTGTGGGACGGAGCGCATGACACCCCCCCCCCCCCCCCCAAGTTTGATTTAAACATGAATTAAACATGAATGCATTTCTTCTATATATTGTATTATACATTTTGTTGTTATTTCATAGCTGGAAAACCACTTAGCTTCTGTTTGAAATAGACACTACAATGAAAAAATACAACTAGGATAATGTAATAAATTAATAAGCATTTTATACAGACAGCTGGAGCTGAACGCCTATTACTGCACTGCCAGTAACACATGTTTTAATAATTAGACACAACATTTGGATGAATGTGTCCTCACCTGTCACGCAGATGACAGCTCTGAAGCAGACTAGGGGAGTAACTCAACCATCATAAATACATTTCATGTTCAGTTTGTTCAGCATAAAACCGATTAACCAGCAGTTTCACCTTTAAGAACTTAGCAGAGCAAGGAACAGACTGAGTGAGGTTGCAGCAACAACACATTAGTCATTCGTGCTTCAGTTTCAACACCAAGTAAACTCTATATAAATAGAATACACCTAGCACATGCAAAAAGCCAAGCAAAACCAAAGTAAACGTTTATAACAGGGGTAATAATCACTAAACTGTAAATATTATTTCTGCTCAGGAAACATTATGATTACTGGCTGCAGGTAAAAGGAAATTGTTTTCCACATAACTAAAATACATGGAATTGAAACTTGATGACTTTAGATTCTAATGAGGTTCCTTGCTGTTTTGTTATAATTGTACAACTGCAAATATCTAAAACACGTGTCAGATGCATTTTTATGTGACCCGCGAGATAAATATCAAAAATATATTAAAACTGACCCGCTGGCGGATTTTACCGCAAAGACTACAACTCCCATGATGCTTTGTGGCATTAGCTCAGAGCTGAAGCACCCCCTCCTTTGTGTTTTTTCTAGCGTCTGCTGCCGGTGTCTGCAGCTCCGCTGTCTCGGACAAACAAAACACTCCTCTCACTCAGTGCCGAGTTTATTCAGCTATTTGCCGACGATGAAGCCCAGAAACGGAGATTTTAACCACTCATTGCTCATGCCCAACCCTATTCACCAGCACAAATCTATGTGAGCACCTGTTGTCATCTAATGTTGTCATTATTATGATGAATATGAACAAAACAACAGGAGTCTCTTCAGCTCAGAGCTCAACCCCATGATGCAGGTATCTGGCTGGAACGGGTGAGCATCAGTGGAGCAAACTGAGCTTTAAATATGTTGGTTTTATGCTCTTTTTCTGCTCCAAAACATAACAGTTAACAGGTGAGATGTTGCATTTTCATTTAAGATAAAATCATATTTTTATTTTGTTGTTGGCACGTGAGAAAAGATTTAACCTACAGTAAAACAGGAACTGGAAAGGCTGCAGATAGATGAATAGAATAGAAAATCCCTTTATTGTTCCTCAGTGGGGAAAGCTAGATGTCACAGCAGCGATGACACTTATTACAGGAGAAAAAAAGGAGAATAAAAAATAAGAAAAATGAATAAACAACAAGAAAACATAAATCCTGAATAGATTTGAAAAATGCTGAATATAGCACAAGTAATGAATACCGCTGATGCTTTGTATTTAAAATTGACTTGCCCATGTGTAATTTGGTTATTCCACATTCAGTGCTAATGCAAAAATAAGTTTGTTTCCAAATTAAAAGGTTCAAAATTGCATATCTGTTGATAAAGAAAATGTGCAAATTTGCCGTCACTTTTTCAAAAAATATTAAGTTTGGCCCGTGACTTCGTCCCAGATTTTCATTTCGGCCCCGTGTGAATTTGAGTTCGACACCCCTGATCTAGAACATTACAACAAAACAATTGATGACTGACTAGCAGAAGTGCCATTTAGAACATTTACTGCATAATGAAACAGAGCCAAGTTAGTCACTTCCCTGTTTCAAAGTGCTGCCATGATAGCTGATCTAAACCCTATTGGTATTAGGGCTGTCGCGGTAACCGCAAAAATGAAATATCGCAATATGAAGAAGCCCACCGCGCTGCATCATGGGCCACCGCGATTACTGAACTTGGTTCAACTCAATGATGCATGTTGAGAAGGATGGTTCCACTGGTATCAAAACGAAACGTTACTTCGCTCCTTTGGGAGCACTTTGGTTTTCAGTACGTCAGCTGCTGCGCAGCCAGAGTCCTTGGCCGAGACAGAGCTGCCACCAGCGGCAAAAAAAAAAAAAAAAAACGCTCGGAGACCTGCTGAAGTCCCGGACAAGCACGGCTTCTGCAACCGTCCTGAAGAGAGTTTGAGCTGAGCTGGAGCTCACTCGCTACCTGCAGGAGGAATGCATCCACCCTAAAGAAACCCCCCCGACATGGTGGAGCAACAACCGGGAGAGATTCCCTTTGCTCGCCAGTCGTACGCAGGTACGTGTGCGTTAGTGCAACGAGCGCACCATCTGAGAGGGTTTTCAGTGTTGCTGGAAATGTTGCCACCCCTCTCAGATCCTCTCTCAAACCGTATATGGTTAACATGCTGGTTTTCCTTGTGGGTAACAAGGACGTGACTGAGCTATAAATCACCGTCATTCGTGTGTGTGTGAAAGTGAAATGATAGTGCGCCCGCCCCCCGGCGCGCGCGCGCCCGGTACATGTAATTTTTTATGCTTGATTTTAAACAACTAAACAAAATGGGGACTTGTTTATTATTTGTTAGATGCTGCAGCCAAATTTGCAATTAAAAGTTTAACCTTATCCTGAATTTTGTTGTTTTTAAGTTCAGTCGGACTCCGACTGTCGGAGAAACAAACGTTACTGCGATCTGTGTTGTTACTGCCCTTTGATCTGCATTCAGTAAAGTGTTATTAAAGAAGGCACGGCAATTTTTAACCTTTTTTAAATGTGTAAACATTATGTTTAGATAGTACTGCAATAAAAAAAGGGCTGCAATAATATCGCACACCGCAATATTAAGCCACCCTGAATCACCGCAGGGGGAATTCCTCAACCGCGACAGCCCTAATTGGTATTAAACACAATACAGATATTTACGCTTAACCTTGAGCAAGAAAAGGCACATGAGTAAGGGTCAAAAAGTCAAACCATGAGTTATTAGGGCAACAGTAGCTCAGGAGGATGAGTGGGTAGTCCAGTAATCGGAAGGTTGCAGGTTTGATCCTAGCTCCAGACAGAGAATGCTGCTGTTGTGTCCTTGGGCAAGATACTTAAATCCACCTTGCCTGCTGGTGGCAGCCCTGTGCTTGGCAACCTCGTCTCTGTCAGTGTGCCCCAGGGCAGCTATGGCTACATTGTAGCTCATCACCTTCAATGTGTGAATGTGTGTGTGAATGGATAAATGATCATTTTATCTACTTATTTTAGCAGAAATAAGTGAATGAAAATATGTAGACATTGATATGAAGCAGAGTAAAGTAACATTTAAAAAAAGGTTTCATTTATAGAAAATCATTGCAACTCAGTACAGCTTATTTTTTATTTATTTATTTTTTTTACTGGTTTTTATTTCCAGTAAAACTATTAAAAAGAATGGGTGATAGTGTGTTCAAGACTATGTGAATAAAGGCTGCAGGTTGTTTCAAGGTTCTTCCTGTAACCAAATCAGAGCAGTGACAGACTAATGAAGTTAAATAATGATGAGGCCCCAGGAAATGAAGGTCTCCAGCAGGGAGAGGAGAAGATGTGTCAGACAACTGGGAGAAGAGTTGTGACTTTCCTGCGGAAGTTATGCGTTTATAGCATCGACATATAAATATGGTTTATAGTAAGGCTAAAAATGGCAGCAAAAAGCCAGAGCCATCAAATGATTTTTAAATGGGAGGAAAAGATTGTGTGTGATATTTAGGGAAAGTAATCTAATGATTATCATTTGACTGTTTACTGATTTCCCAAAGGAGATCTCTCTGACTGCCTTCTTTAAAGGTCAGCCTGTTGAGTGAGGGTTAACTACTTCCTCTCAAGTCCTTAAAGTGATCTCTCACAACCCCGGACCAGCTCAGTCTCTCAGGATATGCACATTTTTCACATAAACTCAACAAGCCACTGTCCAAACTTCCAGCAGTGCAAAGAATTAAAAGATTATCTCTTTATTCCCAGTGACCAGATAAGCAAGGGTCAGACAAGGGCTAAGCTTCAATCAAAATATACTTCTAAAGCGTATTTGTTCATGCACATTGCTTAAAACAGATTATTCTATCAGTGCAGGAATAGAACTGAGCCAAAAGACAGCATTTATGCTAAGAAGGAGATCTGGCACAACTCTTTACTTAAGAAAAAGAAAGACGGAATTTCCTCCATTATATAATTCCTGTTAAATGTAACTGTCATGTGTTCATCAGCCATGTTTTGTCGCCTTCAGGAGGTATCACAGAACAAGTTCAGCACATGGCTCTGCTCAATGACATTTTAACATTAAACAATCGGACTTCTAATGAAGAGAAAATTCATTCCACTAAGCACAAAGACTTGAAACTCACCATGTCACTAAGCATTTTTATTTATATATGTGAGAATATACAGCTGAGAACATAATCATAGCTTTCCACTGCTTCTAGGTTCAAATAACTAATTAATTAGGATTTTTAACTGTCTTGTCAGACAGCATGAAAGCGTACATCCTCAAGGTTAAACACACACACACACAAACACACACAGTTAAAAATGTAGGAGCATCTTGAGGGCTTGTCAGTTTAGTTTTCAACCTTAATGAGAAGTGACAGTGGTGTCCTCTTTTCTGCATGACACGACAACAATGGCAAAGAAGTACAGGGTCAACGGGTGTGCTTATATGTGAGTGGTGGAGTTACAGCGTAGTGAAACAAAGACCATTTCTGACACAAATCCAACAACTCTTTCCCTTTCTCCCCATTTTTATTCTTTATGCCTCTCACTGTTTGATTCTTCCCCCTGAATGGTGCCATTGAAAGACGAGGCAGTTAGGTCCTTTTACTGGAAAAAACTGCGAGCTCCCAAAGGAACACAAGAGCTCTCACTGACGGGCCTGACGACTGCAGATCGTTTTTCATTCGGTCCCTGTCTCTTCACAATTAAAGACTCACACGCTGGGGGCCAGAGTTCATATGTGGCTAAGAAAATGTCAATGCAAATCAAGACAGTGACAACAAAGTGATACACAATAAAGTGGAGTCATGTCTCTTCTCTGATACTGGGCTGTGTAAACCTACACTGCAGCTGCCTCCGCCTAACGTTTGTGCAGCTATATGGCCTTGATCTGCTCAGCTGGTGGAGAAGAATGTAGTAGGACTCAGAAATAGTGGTCAGATAGAGATAATAGCGCCTGTCGGTTCTTCTGATGCTTGTGAAATGATAGACTCCTGTGGGGATTTCAACACAAACAATTTGTGCTGTAACTAGATTTGTACCACAGTGAATGGTGAGGCCAAGAAAACTTGTGGGAAAGGCTTGCTCTACTGTGGATGTAATACAAGTAAGGTCCCATTCTTCAAGGAACAAGTGAAATGGTTTAGCTACTGCCAAATTTGAATACTACTTAGTGCAAGTTTTTAACATCAAAACAGAAATTTTTTTTTTTTTTTTTAACATTTATTTTGTTTTGTTATGTTAAAAAAATATCTGTTTCGTCTCAGAAGGGGGTAGGGCTAAGCGTGCATAGTAATGTATGGTCAAAGGCTTAAAATTCACTCCAGCCACTAGGGCTGAATGATTTTAGGAAAAGATTGAATCGCCATTTTTCTAGCAGAAATTGTGTTTTCGGTTCAATTCACAATTTTCTGCAAACAAAGGTCCAACATTAGCCTGCCAAGCCATCCTGTAGATTAAAGGCACAGTCCGCAGGATGACGCCGTCAGGGTGAGGAGGAGGAGATTTTTAAATTCGAACGGCTGTCGCTCACTCCCCCGCCCTTCCTGAAAGAGCCGAAAGCCACGCCTCCCAATGTGCACGCGCAGGAAAAGCAGAGTCAACATCGGAGCATTGCTTCTTGTAATAGAGCTGAGCTAGTGTTAGCAATGGAGTTATCTGAGGTAAGAAAGTTGTATTTAACCAGCACATTAAACACTTACTGTTTACAAAAGGCATTTTATAAAGAATATCTATAAATATATTTATATTTTAAAATACCAGTAACAGTTGGCAATCTATATTGTAAATAAAATTAATCCTATCAAATTGTTAGCATTTTATTACAAGTAACTAGCTTATTTTTAATTGCTTTGCCATTCAAGATGGGATGAATATATCAAAGCATATAAATAATTTATGTGGAAATCATGAATAAACACTGCATTCTGTGTAGTCCTCCTATAATCATGGTTGTTTTCATAGGGTTTCTGTTTATTGTTAGTTTAGCCCAAATTTTGACTAGATGTAAACCTGATCTGTGTCAAAATTGATTAATATGCATGAGTACTTTTTATATTAGTATATTTTTTTATTCTAATACAATTTAGAGTTCAGTGATTGAGGAATCCTCTGAGGAAGTTTGAACCTCCTATTGCATCCTCAAAACGTGGTGCAAAAAGGAGATGCCCACCATCATCTCAAAGCCGTGGTGCATCCAGAGGCCGTGGTGTCTAGAGGCCGCGGTGCATCCAGAGGCCGAAGAAGTGTGAGACACTCAGCTGTGGACCTTGGGAGATGAAGATCTCTCTCGAGTTCGGAATCTTTGTTCCGAGCGAATAGACTTTGAACGTGTAAGCATAACAACATTACACTAAATTATCCTAAAAACTGTTGCTGTAGCATCTCTTTCCACTTTTGTAGCAACACATACAGAACCTGAACCCTCAGCAGGCTATTGACATCCTTACCATGGTGCTGGACAGACACTGGTGTTCTCTTTGATGTACTTGCCCTCTCTGGTCCACCTGCCACAACACCTCCAACACCCAATCAACCTTCATGGTGTGTATGCTCCCACTGCAGAGATATGCCAACTGATTTGGAAAAGAAATGCTGCCAACAGCCTCCCCAGACATGTATTTCAACTGTACCACACATGGAGGAGTTTATTCTGCAAAATTCCCTGACCCCAATGGTAACTACACTGGTTTTATTCCAAGACGATTGTAAATAAATGTATATATTTTATATTTTACATAAGTTTGTTTTTATATATTTTTTGTTTGATGCTCTAATAAAGTGTTCTAAAGCACAACTTTGTGTTGCATTTGTAAAAATACCATAAATTTTAAAACTCCTGCACAACAACAAAAAAATTATGTCTACCTCCAACATTTTACATAAATTTTTAAATTATTAGTCCTTATTTCCCCAAAATATATCTTTATTTTCAAAAAAAAAAAAACACAGGAAACAAAAATAAAGAAGGTTTTGGGTTTTCTCTTGCCTCCCCCAACACCTATGTCTGTGGCAAAGTTTTACCTGTAAATAAAAAATAAACTCAATTAGCAATGGACTATTGTGTAGAAGATGTAAGGCAGATAATGTTTTATTTTACCATCACCGCAAGTCCGTAGGTGTTGTAGAAGTTCCTCTGTTGATGGTGCAGGAACTCCGGACAGCAAACCATAACGCCTTGGACCCTCAGGCCTTAGCTTGTAGCGTCGAGGAAGACCTTTCTTGCTTGTCAAACGTCGGTCAGTTGCTTCTGGGATATTACAGTCATGAACTGTATCCTCTATGTTAATTTCTTGCAGAGTCTCAAGTTGTAATGTTTATTGTAATGCTGCTCCAGTCCTGTGAACAAAAGCTTTTTATTAACTATGCGCTATTGCAGTTTTATAGAATGTTAAACGAAAGGAATTACCTTATGTGTATATAAGGTGTGTAGTCCTCATCACCGCTGTCATCAGAACCGCTGTCCATCTCGATGGTTTCGTCCTCCTCTGAAGATGAATCAACTTCCGTTTCTCTGTTTGGTGACCATGTGATGACTCTATCCTGAATATACACAATATAAAGTTTGTAGTATGGAAAATTAGACACGTTTTATTAACATCTGAATACTTACACAGAGTTTTGAATATTGTTGAACTCTTCCTCGTCAATGTTTGCTTCAATTCCCACACAAGATAACCTAAAAAAGTAATTATTGTTTACTTTTCCTGACAAATGTGACAGCCGTATACAGATACAACCTTGTACTTACATTTGTGAAGATCCTTCTTTTTTAGTTTCACCTTGTTCCATCACCTCCTCCAAATTATCATCCCTATGAAAATAAAATACAAGCACAAGAATATGATTAGAATCAATACATATTTTGTCATTTTGAAGGTAATAGACCTCGTCTATTGGCCGTCATCATCACCCTCTCCTTATTTTTCTCACTCTACTTATTACGCATTTCTCTGTATCCACTGAATTCCTTCTTTACAAATAATTTCCTGTCTCTCTCTTTACATTTTAAAAACACAATTGTGTTATTTTTTTCTCATAAACTTTGAAATAAAAATATAATTTTTTAAAATATGTTTAATTTTGTTGTTGTGAAGTGTCTCAAGAGTTTTATCTTGAGAGGCGCTATATAAAATGTAGTTTTACTATTTATTTCTATACATTTTTTATAGTCATTCATTATCCCATTTCTAGAATTTTTTCAAAATAATCCACCACTAACTTAAAACAAACAGAGGCAAAATTATAATATTCCTGGTAGAGGTTTTTACGCAGCTATTTACCTTTCAGATGATTCTCCATGAATGCCAGACAAAGCTGGCACTGGTGTTGGAGAAATACACAGTTGGCGCTGCAATGGTGTATATGTTGATGCTTCATATTTGGACTGATGACTGTAAAAAACAAAGCCCAAAAATTAGTGATCACAAGCTAAGCAAGTCTCCCCAGCCTTCACAGATTTTTGCACGAGCTGATTATCATTCCTTTTATTTTAATATGGAGTTTTCACGTAGGTAAGACCACAAACTCAGAAGGTAATCTGTACACGTGGCCCACCCAGGTTAGCACAATATGTCTTTCAGTGCTAATGGAAACGTAAGGTTTTGGATACGTTCCTGATCAATCACACCTAATTCTAACTGCTGAATCATCTCCTCAGACTTCTACAAGTACTACAAGAGCTGCTGATTACTCATTTTAATCAAACACACAGCTCAGGCAAGTGTAAACACCTAATTCAGCTTTCAAGATGCTAACTGAACCCCGCTAACGGGGAAGTTATAAACAAGAGCTTAAAACAATATACTGATGTGGCCTATAGTTAAACGCCACACTAATCATTAGCTCCCATATAAACAAAAAACTAAAATCCCCTTTCGTTACTCAAACTTCTTCCAAATATAGCATAACTAGTTCACTAGCATCTATTCATGTCGACTTAGCATTCAAGCTAATGCTACATTAGCCAATAGGACACCAAGCATACAAAGCTTGTTTGTTCTATTACTTCTTTCAGTGAAAGAAAGATTATAAGTAAATTTATCCGAAAAACAATAAATAACTTACCTGTCTAAAAGATACTTTGCCAACTCTTCATCCGTTTTCAGGCCGTGTAGATCACGAAAATCTCTCCATCGTGTGTAAAACAATCTCCAATGTAAATTCTACTCAAATGTCTCAAACGTCTTACAGACACTTTTGAAGAAGGGCTTTTAAACTTTTTAAATGTTTTCTGAGATGTGGAAGGCAGTCGAGGAATTGGTAATTTGGGGTTTTGTTGCTCCATGTTTCTGCAGTAAGCCGAGTAAGGCGCGTGACACTGTTGTGCATGCTGAGATCTAATGCTCGTGCTCGATGATTGACAGCTGCCCCCTGGTGGAAACGCAGCGCTATTGGTCAACGCGTTAGGCTTGCAGAAATATTGGCTGAGCTCTACAGGGCAGGGGAGGGACTTAGGAGAAAATTGAAATATTAAAGATTATTTACTTTTTTAAATAAAATTGGGTCAGATGGTCAAAATCAAACATTTTTAAAGTTATTCTACATTGAAATGTTGCAGACTGTGCCTTTAAGTGAAAAGATGGTTTAGATTCTAATCTAGTACAACAAATCATTCACATTAATATTTACCATTTAATCATACAATAAAAACAGTTATATATATTAATATTTTCTCCCATTATTTTATATATATATATATATATATATTTGTGTTTGTGAAGCAACTTGTGCTTGTGATTTTTATCTCCTGTTCTACTCCAAAAATGCATGGAGGAAATCTGTAGGTAGAAATAGCTTTTAAATGTATTAAATAACAAAAAAAAAAAGCACAGTTTTCCCTGCATTACTAAGGCAGAAACATAAACATAAAACAGGGAAAATGACCTGAACATGCAGCTCTGTCAGCTGTGGAGTAGGGCTCTGCTCTAGACAGTACAACCCACCCCCCTCCCCCGCGCTGGCTTTTGCCACAGCCATAACACAGGGGGAACACCCCGGATGTAAAAAAAAAAAAAAAAAAAAAAGTTACACAACTGATCCTGGATCAATCAAAACAGCTACAACCGCAACTTTGGCGGTCACGTGATTGCGCTGTTTGAAATCGCAATTTAGGCCCAAAAACGATAGATCGTTCAGCCCTACCAGCCACTATCAAGTTTAAACTTCACCTTGGTTTGACATACATACATAAATAAATACATACATACATAAATAAATAAATAAACAAACAAATAAATAAATAAATAAATGAGAAAGATTACTGCAAGCAGCACTGTCCCTCCCATGCATTTTTTCAAGAGGATACACACCTGGGTCTGGTATATTTACATGCTGGCATTTCACATCCCTTAGCTATTTAGCAAAGTAGAAGCATGCTGCATTTGTTTCGTAAGTATGGAAGCTACGTGCAGATTTAGTTTAAATCTACATATTTTCTTCTACCCGTCTGCAGACTGATCAAATCTAACTACAAACCATTCTGTTTTGTCTTTCTGACAGACTCAGTGGTTTTCAAAATAATTAAAGGTGCAGTACGGAAGAATTTAGTGAGAATTTTATAGTGAGAAAATCCCAAAACAGATATCTAGAACATTACAACAAAACAAAAAAAGAGTTTTGGTCATTTTGGAAGGAAGGTTATACTGAAATATTTTTCATATCCAGCTGGCTGCGGGGATCGTCAGCTTTTTCTCCTTTCAAACTAAACGAAGGAGGGATGTAACTACTGTTTACCATCAGTGAGTGTGGGGTTGTCAAATCTTTTGCAAGCTAATACTGCAGCGCCGATAATTGTAATTTGATGATGGCCGGCCAAAAGCTCCAGGGTTCTTTAAAGTGGTTGCAGTAACCAAATTTTACCACAGGATGTCAATTTTATTTAATTTCTACATAATGTGAAAAAAAAATTATTTTTAAGAAAATCAGTGGATGCTAAATTAAAGTAAATAGCTAAAACTGTCTGTGATCTACATAAAATAAAAAAGTCTGTCTTTAATCTGAAGATGAGGCCAAATCTCTAATTTCTTGGTTTATGATTGATTGTATCAAAACCTTCACTTCATTTGTGAACATTAATGCAACACTGGGCACATCTAGTCCACACCTACCACTTTAATCACTGTACGTCGCTGTGTATTGCAATAGAAATGATATTTTCTTCTTTTCTTCTTCTTCTTCCACACTAGCTAATTCCTAAATGTGTCATGTAATATATTGTAAATGCCATAAATAAATAGATTTAAACATCAAGTGCACAAAGTAAAGCAAAAAATAAACAACTACAATAGGGCTGTCGCGGTTGAGGAATTCCCCCTGCGGTGATTCAGGGTGGCTTAATATTGCGGTGTGCGATATTACTGCAGCCCTTTTTTATTGCAGTACTATCTAAACATAATGTTTACACATTTAAAAAAGGTTAAAAATTGCCGTGCCTTCTTTAATAACACTTTACTGAATGCAGATCAAAGGGCAGTAACAACACAGATCGCAGTAGCGTTTGTTTCTCCGACTGTCAGAGTCCGACTGAACTTAAAAACAACAAAATTCAGGAGAAGGTTAAACTTTTAAATGCAAATTTGGCTGCAGCATCTAACAAATAAGAAACAAGTCCCCATTTTGTTTAGTTGTTTAAGATAAAGCATAAAAAATTACATGTACCGGGCGCGCGCGCCGGGGGGCGGGCGCACTATCATTTCACTTTCACACACACGCGAATGACGGTGATTTATAGCTCGGTCACGTCCTTGTTACCCACAAGGAAAACCAGCATGTTAACCATATACGGTTTGAGAGAGAATCTGAGAGGGGTGGCAACATTTCCAGCAACACTGAAAACCCTCTCGGATGGTGCGCTCGTTGCACTAACGCACACGTACCTGCGTACGACTGGCGAACAAAGGGAATCTCTCCCGGTTGTTGCTCCACCATGTCAGGGGGGTTTCTTTAGGGTGGATGCATTCCTCCTGCAGGTAGCGAGTGAGCTCCAGCTCAGCTCAAACTCTCTTCGGGGCGGTTGCAGAAGCAGTGCTTGTCCGGGACTTCAGCAGGTCTCCGAGCGTTTATTTATTAATTTATTTTTGCCGCTGCAGCTCTGTCTCGGCCAAGGACTCTGGCTGCGCAGCAGCTGACGTACTGAAAACCAAAGTGCTCCCAAAGGAGCGAAGTAACGTTTCGTTTTGATACCAGTGCAGCCATCCTTCTCAACATGCATCATTGAGTTGAACCAAGTTCAGTAATCGTTGTGGCCCATGATGCAGCGCGGTGGGCTTCTTCATATTGCGATATTTCATTTTTGCAGTTACCGCGACAGCCCTAAACTACAATTCAGTCAACAACCGTATCTTATGGTGAGAATAATAAAAATCAGTGGCACATAAAAGTTTATAGAATTAAGCTTTTCGGTTGTTGCTAGAATAACATAAGCAGCAATGACACAAATGGCAAATATAGCTAAACTGCTTTGCTTTGAATATCGTGCCACCTAAATATCACTCTGTTGTCCTCAACCAACCCTGCTCTTCATCAGCATTTGGATCTACGCCAACTCCACCAAGACCCCTCCAAATCCACAACAGCAGACAGATGCAGCTGAACAGCAACAACAGCCAAGCGCTACAAGAGGGAGTTTTACAAATTCTCTCTTGCTCCTCCCCCTTACACATCAGCAAGGCCAAACACAGTTACAGCCTGGCAAAGTCTGCACAGGTTCCCCAACAAACACCAGAGCCCTTGACTGTGAGACATATTATTCCTTTTTTATTGTCTAGCTGCTGATAAGCAAAACACCCATCAGTAGTTTGATTTGATATGGCAGTTTAAGTCTGATTCACTTTTCTCAAAGTGTACTCTTCTCTGGTCTGTGGTCGAACTGGTGATGATTTCTGGGGTTTGAGCCATAGAAACACATTCAGAGAAAGTGGAGGAGAGGCAGACTCGGAAAAGTGTAACAGGAAATACAAGAGGAAAACATGGACAGAAGGAGGAGAGGGAAGAAATAGGGGAACCTCTAAATATGATGAGCCAGGTTTTCAAAGCTGCTCAGGCAAGTTTTTTTTATTGAAATTTCATAAAAAATACAATTTCACTAGAAAACTTGCAAAATGCAATCAGCTAAGTGGAAAAGCACTAGATCATGCATTCATCTAGAAAACATAATTTATTTTCTGTGACTAAAAGAGCAAGAAATTTGAGAAAACTTGCACAAAAAATTGTAGGAACATTAATATACTTGGTGACTAAATAGTAAGAGAAAGATTAGCATTGATGCACCAAAAATAACCAGGCCAGATCTAAAACTTTTAGTAAGGGCAACACACCATTTCATTGTGATTTCATATAGAAATTTACTTTTTCTTGTAATTCTGCGTCTCCTAGTAGTCACAACAATTCCAGCCCAGTAAGAAACTGGTTTACAGTAATCCTCAGAACAATGAACGTACTTCCTTTATTGTGTTTTGCTTTTAAAGCATGTAGCTGCATGTCTGTAATGTAACTTGTAATGAAGCTACGTAACAAAATTCAGTCAAAATACCCAACCCCCACCTAGCAAAGCAGCCATTAGGGCAAACTCCTGGGCAAAACAGGAAACACAACTTTACTGCAAAAGCAAAACAAACCAAGGATGACTCTGAAGCAAACCAGGCAATCGGGTTTCACTAATGCATGAGTCACTACACACCTCCCTGAACACAGAGTAGCAATTTGCTTTTGGCACTAATATCAGCAATATGCTGCCCTGCAACACACAAGGACTGATTAAAACAGAAACTATAAGAATAATTGTCAGGGGATTTTCGTAGTATAGCAGATTAAAGTTTCTGACACAACTGAACAAATATTAGATAAAAAAACTAATAATGTTCAAAATCCCCAACAATAAAAAATTACCAAAACAAAATTTTCATTTCCATAGGTTTGTTTTTTCTTTCTTTTTTGTTTTGTCTCTAGTATTTGGAACTGCAACCTTGAATGGGAAAATGTATTTACACTAAACCTTGTATGGGAAGACTAGGGCTTAAATTTTGACTTTCTTTTCAAATGAACTTATATATAGAGGGAAATTTTAAGCAGCTTTGGTTGTTGGGGCTTTTAAATGTCTGTAGGATCTGGTTTGGGAGAAAGGCCGGTTTCTGTGTGCCACATGTGTAACAGAGTAACACAAAGATATGCTTCAGGGCCTGAAATTCACTTCTAAAAACAGGGGGGAATTCCCCCTTCACATATGTCTGTACAGGGGGAATTTATATATATGGGGGGGGGGTGATTACCAAATGTGCAGTCTTATGTTGTACTAATCATACCTTACATCACGTTTATAAGCAGCTTTCATTGGACTCCTGCAGCATTCTCATCTTCGTTGCTCTTGTCCCTTTCTTTGTTTCATCTCCTCTGCCTGATTTCTTTCCTCACACAGAAGTTAAAAAAATAAATATAAACTTTCCAGGAACTACTTGTGGGATTAACAACAGGCCTTAACATTGTTGTATTCTTACCTCAGATTGATGCATTTATTAACTTTTTTTAATCTTGCTTAGTGGTCCTCATAGCTGCATCTGTGGCCTTCTTTTCTTTTGTCCGAATGTTGTCTTTTTCTTGGCCTCTAACACTGCATCTTTCTCCATTGTAATAACTTTGAAGTATAAAAATCAAATAAAAATGCTCCTTTTTGCTGCACTGGTATTAGAAATTATCTTAACAATTTTCATTGCTGAAGTTTGTTGTCCAACTCTCTGGGCTGCATCTTTGCTCTTGTTTGTGCTTCTTTATCTGTTGTCTCCATCTTCGCTTCTTACTCTGATTTCTTTCTCTGAATTCCTCTATCTCAAACTGATGAATTTTCATTAACTTAACTTTTAACACAAACAGTTTCGTTGATGTGGCATCAAACACGATTGCAACTATGTACATTAATGTATCTGTTAGCTCACAGTACTAATTAGTTTTGGAGCGGGGTTCTCCCACGCTCCGCTTGGTCCTCTGTCCTCTCTGTCTTCTGTCTCCTCTGCTTCATCTCTTTCCATTTGATGAAAGCTCTGTTGAAATCAAACTGCTCTTGCGGAGGGCCAAGCTCTGAAATCAGCATCAGATTGGTGAGGTTTGCGTTATTCAGAGAATTTCTGAATCTTGTTTTTATCCTGTTTTGTGTGCTGAATCCGCGTTCACATGACACACTGGCAATTGGGATGACTAAAGCGATCTTAATGAGCTTCTCCATTTCAGTGAACACACCCCGATGGTCACTCAAAACAGCCTCTGCAAACTGCTGGAAGGTCAATGAGGCGTACGAGTCACTGGAAACCATAGTTTGCTTCAGCAAGGCAAACTCCGAGCGTCCATCCACTGCACTTACATAGTTTGAGAAGTGTGCAAGAAGGTTGTCGAGTTTTTCAAGGCCATAATGAGAAAAGTTATCGGACTTTTTTGCCATAATGGCTTTTTTTGGCTCCAAAATCGTAAACCATGACAGAACATCCAGTGTCTCACAGGGGAATCTTCTCTCAATCTCTGTTATTAAAGATCCCACGTACCTGCTCTTCATGTCATCAAAGGCTGGTTTTTGGGTGTGGCAGTCAAAAATTTTGTCTCCTTTAAACTTGTTTCCATCAAGAGAGCTGAAGAATTCAGTTTCTGCAGGGCCAGGGTGGACGATTATTTCCTTCAGGGCTTCTTTGGTACTTTCAACCATTGGCTGTGCTGTGGAGAAGTCCAGATCTTCTCTTTGAAAATGTTTTGAGAGAAGGACTACATGCATCAGTACGTCCTTCATCATGTGACAAAGAGCCACAAAGTTAAACTGTCTCACAGCTAGTAGCAGACCTTTAGCTTTGTCAGCATCTTGTGCATTAGAGGAAGCCATGTGCTCCAGGACATCTCTCAGGGATTTCAGTGATCTACACACTACCGACACTGCATTGTGAATTGACAGCCACCTTACTGCATGCGGCTGGGTGAACTTCAGTTGGGGTTCATCCAGCTGTTTCTGCAATTCATGCAGCTTGTTGCTTCTGACAGCAGAATTACTGAAAAAAATAAAAATTGATCTCAAATCCTGCTGAAACCGTTTCACCTGTGGCACAGAGTTGGCTGCATCACTGGCAGCAAGTGCGAGACGATGAGCCGTACAGTGGATTCCTACCAGGTCTGGATTGTATAGCTCTCTGAGCTTTTTAATAACTCCTTGTCTGCATCCTGTCATTACAGCAGCTCCATCAGTGCAAACTGCAGCAAGTTTTTTTCCATCCAGTTTTTTTTCTGTCAATAGCTGTTTTACATCTTCAACAATAGTGTCTGCTCTTCCATCAGCAATTTCAGAATTCCTTATCAGTTTTGTTTTGACGTTGTTGTCATCTATGAACCTGACATAGATAATCAGTCGTTTGGTGTTACTAATGTCAGTAGATTCATCCAATATTAATGAAAACACGGGACTTCTTTCAACAGCTTTGTCAATATCTTCCACAAGTGTGCTTGCAATAGCTTGCTGCATTTCTGACAGTCCTTTTTCATTGATGTAGCTACCATAGCTTGATGTTTCTGTAAGTTTTTTGAAAGCAGGACACTCCATTTCTTTCAGGAATTTAACCACATGGCAAAATTTAGCTTTTGCCATTTCATTTTTTGCAATAAAATATGCAGTTTTCAGGAGCCCCTTCATTTCTGCAGCAGACTGTAAATGTGCATCTTCGATAGCTTTGGTCATTACACTTTTAGCTGAATCCGCCTCACGTTTTCTTTTTATTGCTGCAGTGTGAGACACACCATCAGCGTGACGACGTAAAGTTGATGTTTTGTAGCATCGACTTGCAAAAGGCACAGCGCCGTACATCTTACAAATGGAGCAGTTCATTTCACCATTGTTATTTTCAAGCCAGGGATACAGTCTGAGCCAGTTAGCCTGAAACTTATCTTTAGGCTGCTTGCTAACGTTACGTTCAGTGGCACTACCTTTTTGAAAGTCCGGAGGATCCGTCTCATTCACAGCATCGCTGGAATCGGCGCTGCCACCCGCCCTGCCTCCAACGCCTCCTCCCTCGCTGCCTTCCGTGCTGGGGATTTCTTGTACAGTTTTTTTGGGAGCAGGTTCCCCTTCGTTGTTAGATTTCCGTTTTAACCAGCGGTCCATGTCTGCATGCAGGCGTTAAATCCGCCAACCGAAGCACTGCTTTGCTGCTAGCAAGGGACTGAGCTCGTATTTTGATAAGTGGAGAGAAAAAAAAATCCAGCGCGCCGCCAATCACCAAGATGAAGAACGGGTTCGATGTTGTGGGATTTTAATGGCTCCGATACAAACGTCCACATTCGCTGCAGGCTGTGCGGGACTTTCCCGCATTATAAAACTGGATTTGCGAGAAGCAACTATATAACGCGCAATACCCGCAATCCCGCAGTGAATTTCAGGCCCTGTGCTTTAGCCCTCAAATTACACATTTTTCAGCTCATTGGTATCTCAATGTTTAATCTTTCCCTTGTTTTCACTTTTTGTTCCGGCCTTTTCATTTACTGTTTTTATTTTTATGTCTTTTTGTAGATCATGGCTTCTCCTCCCACCTGTATGGTGCTGTTTGTCATGTTTTGCTGCCAGATGGACATAGTGAGAAAGGTGATAAACACCACAGAGTGACCAGTTCACACAGGGTAGCCTGAGTCCAAGCTGTTTGCATACGATGCATCACAACAGAAACTCATGAGGCAAATGGTTAAGCTAAAGTAGCACACAGAAACACAATTTCAGTACATCCGAGCATCTGATGAAACTCTTGCTGCAGCCACCCACTAACCACTCAGTACTGTGGTTTCTCTTGATGCTTTTTCTAAAATCAGACCTGGAAAACATGGAGAACAGGTGCAGATCATTCTCACTGGTGGGCAGCTGCAGAAGTAGAGAAATGTTTTACTTCTATCCAGCCTGTCGTTGGACAGCTAAACATTTCTCTTGAGTACTTTAATTGCTTCCCTTGCCAGTTGCTAAGCACCAACAGTCAAATATTGACTGATGGCTTTCTTTGTCCCTACCAGCATGCTCGATGGACTGCAACTCAAATCACTGCAAAATGTGAACCAAAACCACTCAAGCCATTTCAGCCTATAAAGCTCCGGGAGTTGACGTCACTTCTCCCGGCATGCAACAGTTCAAATCGAAACAGCGCCATATTGGCAGGCAGAAGCCCGCAGCTGGACTATTTGTTATTGTCAGAAAACTCAATCAAACGGGAAATATGGTAGATTCCTGTTGTGCCCCAGGATGCAGAACAGACGCGACGACATAAGGAATGAGCCAGGAATGAGCCATCTACAGGATTCCCCAAGATCTGGAGCGTCGCAAACGTTGGATCATTGTAATAAAACGTGCTAGTGACCGTGCTAAAATGAAACTGTGGGATCCCGAGAGTAAAGGTTTTCGCTTATGCAGTGACCACTTCATATCAGGTACTTAAACCAACGTTTCCTCAATTGTGTATATTTATTTTAAATGTTTTTATTACGATTCTTAGTGGGCTTCCTAAACTTATTTTGGCGTGGCTTTTTCTGTCTTATTACTCATAGCAACAAGTAAACGTCACGTAAAACGTTGCCTCGTGAGTTCTGCATGCTGCCGTTTACGTGTCTTATGATCATAGCAATTAACTGGCTAAGCTGTATTTCATTTTAAGCAATGGTTAATCAATTGTCAGATCACTCATAAAAAGCACTTTGGACTGCTATTATCTGTCTCACCGAGACAGATCTCAGACAGATCCTGAGACGCTCCTGCCTGACATATTTATTTTTTTCACGGAAAAAAAATCAAACTAGTGATTTCTCTTGGCGTTTAGTTTATACATTCAAACAGCACAGCACTCTATTTAAACTACTTACAAGTAAATCTATGTTATTTGTCCATCCATCCATCCATCCATCCATTTTCATCCGCTTATCCGGAGTCGGGTTGCGGGGGCAGTAGCGTCGAGAGGCCCAGACTTCCCTCTCCCCAGCCACTTGGGCCAGCTCCTCCGGGGGAATCCCAAGGGGTTCCCCGGCCAGGTCCGGTAAGAAGTCCGCTCCGACAGCTTCTGGCGTTTTTAAAAAGTATCCCAGGGGCACGATAAGGGTCAGAGATGTTTAGTCTATTTAATTTTTGACTATTTAAAACGATTTATTCGGTTTTAAAGTGTGAAGTAATCTCCAACGAAGTAAAATCCAAGCCGATCCCGTTCATTTTGTTTACATTTGTTGCCTGCCAACATGGCTTCTACTCTGAGAGTCACGTGACGTCCAGAGCTCTATTAATGCCCTAAAACTACTGAGATCACACATTTGTTCTGGGTGAAAACTGTTAGTTCCACATTTCTTTAAAAAAGGAATTACCGTTGTCAGTTGTGAGAAAGGTCAAAGCAATGACCCAGACAGTAGTCAAAAGTAGATCATAGATTCTGATAAGCTTCAACCAACAGGATTAAAACCTGCTATCTCTCCTCCCCTTTGTAGATGTATACTTACTAACAAAGCCGAACCCGAAAGATGCCATAAAAAATCCTGCAGGCCGATAGATAAAGACAAACACTTCCTTAAAGGATTAGTCAAACATTTAAGGAAAAAGCACCAAGTGTAACTCGCCAAAGTTGAATGAATAGATATTTGCAACCCACGGCTCCAGCTTGTTTGTTTCTACCCTGGTAGAACTTCTGAATACCAAGGTTTAAAACAATTTCTTTTTTAGCCAACTTAACAACAAATCAGTTTAATTATTTTTCAATATTTCTTAACCAGGTGCTGTGACTTCTAGGTCTCGTCATTTAGTTGTATTCCTTACTAACCTGCTTGCTCACAGATTGTATTAAACTGTCACAGTGATTCGATATTAATCACTCCTTAGGAACAAATTCTCTATTTGTCCTCTATCCAATAATTTAATTTTCTTTCAGAGTCCAGCCATCAATTTAAGGATTGATTGTCTGCTTGTGTGAGCATTAAGGTCATCCATACATCTTCAAACTGAGAACTGTCAAGACAACAAACATAATTCACCAGCAGAGATCAATTAATGTACCAGTAAATTGAGGTAAAAGCAGACAAATAACCCTGCATTACTTGGAGTCCAGATGGTTAAAAGGCTGTCTGTAAGGTCCCTCTCTTCGGCACCATGACCTGTGCTGGGCCATCTGTTTAACCAGCCAAAATGTGCAAGGCCTCGCCAAACCCTCTTTAAGCTCTGCCTTATGGTCTGAGATCAGGGCTGCTTTTTTAAGATGGAGAATTGGTTCTAGAATTTGCTAAAAGTTGCTTTCAACTGCTTTCCTTCAGCCAACCAGTAGCCTGGTGTGCATGAACTGGACAAAGCACTGCAAAACCAGATATTGTCTTTTTCATGAAATGTACATTAAAGAGACAGACTTTGATGCATGCAAACGGTTAATCTGGCACTTGTCTGAACAACTGAATGAACTCGTTAGAAAATCTTTGCAGCATTGGACCAAGTGCCATCACCATCAATTCACCACTACACTAAAGAAAGTGGAGATTTGCCCAGGCTAAGCAGATTAGATTTGACCAAAACTTCAACAAATTAAAGGCTGCACAACGCTCAACTCCAAATTAGTTCCCATACATCATTTATTTTATTTCTTCCTTTCTTGATATGCTGAATAAAAATCCAAGTTTGTTGCCTTTCACTCTCTTCTACAGAGATTATCTGAGACAGCTCTGCCTTTGAATGCCAGCATCACCCTTTGTTAATTATAATACTGTCACACATGGAAATTACTCAGAGCAAAAGCACAAAATGGGGAGACATTAAGAAAAGTGGAAAGGTAAAGAAATCCAAGGAAAATTTTGGAATGAGATGGCCGATATGAGATAAAATACTGGGTGGACGACAGAAGGGACAGAAGACGACAATCTTTTACATAGCGCCTCTCAAGATAAAATTCACAATGAGCTTCACAAAAACAAAAAAAATGTAAGTATACAAATATTTCAAAAATTTTTAAAATTATGTTTCAAAGGGGAAAAGAAAAAATGTAAGGAAAGGGGGAGATAAAATGAATAGGAAAGAGGGAAATAAGTGGATCCTGGAAAAGGCGGATAAGGAGAGGATGGAGACAAAGGTCACGCAAAAGCCAGCCTGAACAGGTGAGTTTTCAGCTGCTTTTTAAAGGAGACCACTGAGTCCAATGATCTCAGGCTCAGGAGGAGAGAGTTCCAGAGTCTGGGGGCCACAGCAGCAAATGATCTGTCACCTTTGGTCTTTAGCCTGGTGCGCTGCACAACCAGTAGGCTTTGGTCACTGGATCTCAGGGACCTGTTGGGGGTGTAAGGACCAGTGTTGGGAATGTTACTTTTAAAAAGTAATTAGTTATAGTTACTGATTACTTTGTCAAAAAAGTAACTCAGTTACTGAGTTACGAGATTATAAAAGTAACTAATTACCAAGAAAAATAACTACTTACTTTTTTCATTAAAGAATGCAAGAAAAAAAGGTTCCCCTCTTAATTAAACTTACTTAATTTACTATAAATTACTACAATAGTGAAATATAAATGACTAATGACTGGAACATAATAAAATGTATGTCCAAATGTTTTTTAGAAACCTGAATAATTTAAATAAATAAGCACTTAACAGGAGGAACTACTAACAGGAACATTACACTAATCTAGACTATATTTAACAAGACCCCAATCGGCTAAAATTTAAAATTGCAAATAGAAACACCTGTAAAGTTTCCTGAGCCTTTAAATGGTCTCTCATTCTAGTTAAATTACAGAAATAAATGTAATTTTGCACAGTATTTTAATTTTTCCAGCTTCACATAATTATGTGTTTTAGTAGCATTTCTGTTGCTGCTAATCTAGTAATGGTTAAATAAATAAAAATCCTTTAAAATGACACTAGAACAGGCACAAATCTGATGGAGGACTTAAATGTACTAACTTGGGTCAGACCCAAACACAAAAGAGCTGAAGCTGGGTGGTAAAGACACACAGGTAGTTCTAATAACACCTGAGCTCCATGACGCCTGAGACTGATGCATCAGTGTCACAGCGGGACTAAACATGATCAGGAACAGGTTACAGCTGGATGATCTAGGAAGGTAGAAGATCAGGACGTCTGAGGGGTGAACAGATGAGCGGACCTTCGGCATGTCCCGCTGCCATGCTAAGAAGGGCATGGCTGCAGATCCACACCTGCATCCGTAGAGTATTCATCACATCTTCCTCGTTCTTGATGCGCTTGGATGAAAACATCTACCTCTTTAGCTCCTGATCAGCTGATGACAGCTTCAACACACCGCGCTGCTTAATGCACGCATTTTCTTTGATAAAAGAAAACGGTAATTAGTTTGCTCGTTACTGACAAAAAAATTTTTTTTGTAACGCGGTTATTTTAAACTGCGTTATTCCCATCACTGCTCTGTTGTGTCTACAGCAGGCAGTGACTGAGACAGTGAGAACACTGAGGGTCTCCGCCCACCCGGCCAATCATCATTGTGTTTGTAAGTGTGTTACCGACACTTCTCTCTTCCTGGCTGCAGCTGAAGTGTGGTGGTCAGAAAGCCTCACACTGTTGCTCAACGTTCGACAAGCACATAGTAACGCACAACCTTCCATCCCCAGTAACGGTAACGGCGTTGCAACAGTGCCAAAGTAATTAATTAGATTATTCCGTTACCTAAAAAAGAATGCCGTTAGTAATGCCGTTATACTTAAACGCCGTTACTCCCAACACTGGTAAGGACTGAGAAGATCACCAATGTACAGAGCCCCAAATGTGAAAACATGACTGACCCCAATTCTGCCTATGAATCTTCTGTGCTCAAAGACAAAAATTGGGGCTAAGGGGAGGAGTCCAGACATAAAACTACAATGACAGGGCTGCTGCTCAAACACCACACTACCTTCCCCCCCAGCAGTGTCAGCCTTCACTTGTTTCTGCCCTAAACCCAAATTCAAATCACATCTTTACTGGAATGTGTAAGAAAACCTCCCTCAATGCTGTCTGGAAGTCTACCATGCTTTAAATGCATTCTAGGTGAAACAAAAACAAAAAGATGAAATGTTCAGAAAACACAGTTTCCCTTCATTAATGTTCTGCTCTACATTTCTCAATGCAACTCATCCATGCGTGTAAAAAAACAGACGCCTTCTCATGAAGAATTTACGGAACGTGGTCTTATGAGCCTGTTTTATTAAGAAAGGGAGTGCAGCAGAGTGTGTGTGTGTGTGTGTGTGTAAGGGGGGGGGGTATAACTGGGCATATTATGTTGATGGTAAGCTGGGAGAGGATGAACTTTCTGAGGCTCAAACTAGACTGTAGTCAGACCCCTGGGGCAGAGGCTACCCCAGCTAAAACTAGTCTGGGGGTGGGGTATAAACATGCCCTCCTGCCATATTCTCACTTCAAACCACAGCAGGGCTACTTCACCGCTGTGTTTATGACCGTAAACAGCTTATGTACACAGCCCTCAAAAACTCACTTCAAGATCTGCTTTTAACTACATCTACTCACAAGACAGAAAAAGTCCCACAAAAACAAATAATCATAAATCATAAAAAAATCTTGCAGAAATAAATTTATAGGCATCAAGACAAAGAGCAGCTGCAAGCAAACCATCAGCTCTCTCTGGGAAGAGGATTTAAAGCACTAAGCTCACCGTTTTGGCAGGAGACCCTGGGATGGTGTGCTAAGTGGGTTAAAGCACACCCCAAGTATCATAATCGCTTTGGCCTCCCCCTCCCCTTACTCCTTTTCTTTCTGTCTGCCAAAACCAGCCAAGGGGAGCAATTTCAAGACCCACAGAATATATGGAGATGGTGAGGTAGAGGAGGACACAGATTTAAACAGAAAACAAAAAAATATTAAAAGTTGAAAGCACAGCTTAATTTGAGAGGAACCTGGGAGTGATATGGGAGACAATGGTTTATAGCCCAAAGGGATGCATTTTCTTTCAAATGTCTGCTATATTCTTACTCTCACATCTGGTGTGTTATCCACCATTTGTGACTTTTTATCCACCAGGTACACCTTTTCACAAAAATCTTGTCTTCAGCCCACATGAATGCATGCAATCCAGCAGCAACACACACACACACACACACACACACACACACACACACACACACACACACACACACACACACACACACACACACACACACACACACACACACACACACACACACACACACACACACACACACACACACACACACACACACACACACACACACACAGGTAACATGAGTCTATGGTGAAACTGAAGTAATGCAGCTCAGTGGACTTAGCACAGCCCCATCCTGCAGAGACCAGACACACTATTTGCCTGGAGGACTTTGCAAACAGAGTACAGCAGGTCCACAGAGAGAGAGAGCTGAAACAGAGCTGCAGAAACCACAGTTCAAACTTACTCAGTAAGAAAAGACAATAAACAAAGTTAGAAAACACATAAAGAGACACCAGCAGCAGTTTGAGTGGATTTTATTAAATGAGTAGAGATAAATAACAGCCAAGTAAAGTTGGTTTTATATCTGTGAATTTTCCATATTTATTTTCCAACAAACTTCTATTTAAGCTCCTCTTTTCTCCCCTTCTTCAGCTCAGTTGGTGTATCCTGTGGTACAGCTGCTGAAGTTCTGATTCACGGCTACTCCCTATCATGAGACGGCTCATTCTTTTAAACTGGAAAGTGTAAGATCAACATCCACCCACTGTATGATCACTGGGGAAGGTATAGGGCCAAGTTTCAGCAATTTGGTGACATTACATTTATTCTAACACAAACTACTGATCCAAAACCACACTAAAATTAGCCTGTTTCAGTGTAAACATGTGCTGAAGCATACAGGAAACGGAGACATCCAGTATATCTAATAAGTGGCACATGTCACATCACAATAAATCAGCCATGGTACTGTTTATCTTAACATTTTTGCTTCACTCTGTTTTAGTATGTTTGTTATTTTTGTTGGCATGCTCTCTGTTGTAGCATTATGTTTTATTAGGAAATTATTTTATGTCTAAAAACTACACAAAACTCTGCTGTACACATACATAAACACACTTCAGCAAAGGTGAGGCAGGTGGTGAGCTCAGGTGAGCAGTCTATTCAGAGATTATAAAGAGTTTTTTACCCTGACTGAAATAGGATTACAGCAGCAAGGTGTGGCTCATTGTAACTCACAGGGGCAGCTGTGCATGTCCTTAGATGGCACATAAGAACACCCTGTCAATCTAGAAAAAGACAGAAGCAGTCTGAAGGTCTGTCATACCTGCAGCATGCTCACATACACTGACTTTAGAGCCTTCAGCGACAACCATCTCCAGTGACTGGCAAAAAGGTTATCCAAAGTTTATCCTGGCAAAGCTAACAACACCTTCACTACAAATAGTGGGGACAAATAATGAAAAATAGCAAAGCAGTAAAACTTAAAAGTTAAGCAAAGTTTTACCACTGTGTTTGACTTCACTGCAGCAGCACAAATCCTTGTGACCAACAATATGCAGGAGTGGCCAAGACCCAAGTGGCAAAACATGCTAAAACATCTAGAAACGGGTTTAAAAAAGCACCACCACAAAGTGGACACAGAGACACGTTCCAGTTTTATCTTCTCACTTTCAGAACACAAAGATTGACCTCTGTAACACTTACAAACTCCCTCCTAACTAAACCAGCATTAATTTTTCTGCTAAAGTTGCTGTGATAATTGATAAATGACAAGGAACGTAATCTGAAACTAACAATTTCACATGCCGACAAAGTTCTCGGTCTCTTAAAAGTATCTTAGGCATTTGGACCAACAGCGGCATCTCTGAAGTGAAATTCGGCCAGTAATAACAGCTGAGGGGAAGGTGTGTGTTCCAACTAGTCTCAAATGACACTTCTACAGAGGGAACTGTAGAACTATCTGTTAAAAACATGGCTTCAGAAATGAGAGAAGATGTTGCATCAAGGCCAGAAGGACAAAATGCATCCCTCAGTTGTTGTCCTGTAATCAAAACTAGTGCAAGGAGCAAACAACAAGCAACATCCATTCACTATTCATTCTTCATTTCTCTCTGTGCTTGGTTTAAACCACAATGTGAGCCCAGGGTGTGGTTCTCCAGCCACACGTGCACTTATTCATGCGCTCACACTGAGCTGCACATGTGTTCACAGAAGGATATTTGTTTTCCAGTCAGACAGCAATGGCATGAAGTGAAAAAGATTTGACTAATGGCAAAATAAAAAACCAGAACGAAAAAGTAGGACAAAAGGTAAAGGGAGGAAAATGGGAGGGTTTCATGGAATTTAACCATTTAGGTAAATCTAAGCGTATCTTAACCATGCTGACAAAAAACTAGTGTCACTATTTTCTTTAATTACAAAATGTATGTGCATCCTTGAAGTTGAACTGTTGCTTTATAAATTGTGAAAAGCACTACTTGGAGGCTTCCCATAGGGCTGCTATTATTCCAGACAAACTCAGACATGGGAACCAAAAGAAAACCACAGCCCTTGCATTTGTGTCTGTTGCACATCAAAAGAGAGAAAACAGCATCTGGAGTTTAGCTACAGTGCAGAAATATGTTTAATGGATGCAGCCATGTGTGTGTTAAGGTGTTTAGAGCCGAGAACAACAGAGGTCATGTCTGGGAGAAAAGACGGAGCTGAGAGGTTGTCTAAGTGCATGTCTGAGACAGAGGAGGAGACAGGCGACGAGGGTGTTTTTGCCTTTAGGGGCCAAAGTGGGTCAAGCCAGGTTCAGGGATGGGTGAACTCATCGTGCTTGATCTTCTGCACACATTCAGTCAGCAGATAGGTGATGGACAAAGACAAATAATCTTTCTCCTGTGTTCTGAAAGTTTATAAATTTCTCTTCTGCATCAGACTCATTACAGCAAGAGGAGATCTGCTCTACAAACATAGCATCTCTAGAGACAACCTCACAGGGGATGATCCATTTCCTCCTCAGCTTCACAAAAGTGTCCCTTCCCTCCATCTCCAGGGCCCTCACCTCTTCAAAAGGGGGTGTTGCATCACATTCACACTTTCTTTTTTGATAGATACTCACTCGCCCGTTTGTTTGGTTCTTATTCTTTTGGTCACCATTGTTTTTCACAGGTAAAACTTTGCCCGACACTCTGAACCAGCCAGTTAGTAAGTCAGAGCTCAGCTGCAGAAGTCACGTGGAAAAATAGGAGAAAAGGCAAGGGTTAATTCAAGGAGGTGAAAGAGGAGAGAACATGGGCAGGCTTTCATTTTGAAACAGACCTCTCTTTCAGCCAGTATCTGCTACCCTCCCTCCTCCCCTGTTAAGCCCTTTTTCTCCCTATGAGTTATCAGCTCATCCGTCTCCTCTCCCACGATGATAACAGCCCCTAATGTCTGTGCAGTAACACACAAACTTGTGTCATTTCCTTCTGTCCTCCACCGCTCTACGGTTAACTCCTACAAATGGTTAATAAGCTACGTTTGCAAACTTTTAAAATGTATCATATGCAGAGAAACAAAGAGCTCAGCGGAAAATAAAATGACAGACAGTTGCTTTAATCACTTAATTAACAAACGCATTCATAAATTATGCTTTTGATATTTGCACTTGATTTTAAAAATAAAAGCTTTTACAATGTAACTCAAGTGTTGAACACTTCCAACAGTGAAAAGTACAATCAGAAATAAAGAAAATCAAGAGTTGCTGCGTGGAATAAATAGAGAAATGAATGATATACACTGCAAGTGTTTCAATGGATAAAAATCAGCATGAATACATAACTAACAGAAGAACAAGACACTAAAATAAACAGCATTTGAAAGCTAACATTTTTGAGCAGAGAACAAATGTGGCTAGATACATCCAAACAAAAATCAAAACACCTCTAACTGTAGTTATTGTTTTAACAGAAATCCTCTCCAGGTGCAGACTAAACCATCAGTGCTCTATCTTACCAACACCATAAACAAATTAAAATTCCAGATCGTCTCTGAGCATAACAGCCATATAAACTTGTGTGAAAATAACCCACTAAATAACCTCCATCCACCATCTGATTTGAAAATGAGCAGGAAAAAAGCTCAATTTGATACAGCATAAGAAACTGGGAGAAGAAATATTTGTGGAATGACCACATTCTATTCTCAATTAACATTAAACAATGGTCTCACAGTATGCAGTGACAGATCAAAATCTCAGTGTGTGACTGGAAAAAACCTGCTTGATGTTTGCATGAATCCTCTCATAAAAATATGAAACCTCTCAAAACAAAACATCCTGCTTTGAGAAGGGGAAACATGCAAATGTAGTGACACATTTCCTGCTGGATTATGGTCAACACAACGTTGGAAGCAGAGTGGCTCCTCTCCAGAAACAAGACTGAGTTCATAAACTATTCCAACAATCCATGAGAAAGGGAAAGACTCCAGGAGATCAGCTGCATGCTGGAGATGAACTTTGTGGCATTCTTCTGAGCTGAGGATGATTTTACTCATCTCAAGTGAACTGGTCATTTGTCTTCGTGACAGATCTTCTACACATTGTGAGGTGGCATTTTTCCCCTGATGCCTAAAATCTGATTCACAGCATTACTCATCTGAGCCACACACGCATACAGAACAAGCTCACATCCTTCCAACAGTTTGACCTCTAATCAGCAGCATTGAAGGCACAAAATGTTAGCTAAAATCCTTGTACCTTATATAATACTAACTCAATACTACATGTGGCAGTGACACTAATACAATCAATGAACAAGGAGACTAATTTACAAACATTGACATAATTATTAAGAAAAAAAAGACTAAATTGTAATTGCATCATGTCCTGTCTGCTGAGTGACCTAGACAAGCACTTTCCTATAACCTTCTCCTCGCTTTTTATGAACATACTTCTTCAGAAAATTCCCTGCACTAATTATAAGCGTAAACTGCACATCCCAAACAGTCCGGACATAATTCTTTACATTCAACGTAACATTTTTTGTTTTAATGTACAAATGTTAGCATTTAAAGTGTTTCTACTGTGTAGGCAATATAAAAAGTGAACTTATGATACGAGAGGTTTGTGAGGGCCAAGTTTGTCCTTATTTAGGTTAAAGAAAGTTAATTTACTCCTCTTGAGTTCATGAAAAAC